GTATTATAATATACTATATATAGAATAAATACTAATACATACTATAATATATTATAATATAATATAAATATAATATACTATATAACTATAATATACTAATATAGTTATATAGTATATTATAATATTATATAGTATTATATATATTATATATTATTATATTTATATATAAATAGTTATAGTTAGGTAATAACTATACATAGTATTATAGTATTATATTATATAATAAATTAGGTAATAACTTATTATAGTGATAAATATATATACTATAATAATAATAATATAATATAATATTAATATAACATATATATTTATAGTATAATTATTATAGTATTATTATATATTATATATATTATATTATTATAGTTATATATATACATATAAATGTTAGGATAATTTTTTACCTGTATAGAATCCTTGCCGGCATCACGTAGAATATTTCGTGGTTGCGTGTATCCGGGACCATTGCTGTAAAGCAGCGTCGTGTAGGGTTGTCCATCAACATCCGACACCTTGCTGTCAGAACCTGAAGGAAAAAAACGATGGTACCATCTATCAACGGGATTAGATCGATAGGAATCTCATAAATAAAAGCAAAATGTCGTTCGTTGTCTAGGTCGTACTAGCATTGTCGACTATTAACAAGGAAGTTTTTACCAAAGTCGTCGTATATATCCTATACAGGAAGAAAGCAACTTGGTATTAACGTTGGATAACTTTGCTTTTAAATATATTACACAACTATTAATTACATTGGATCGACATATTAAACACGTTTATCCTTTACAATTGTTTTTTTTTTCTTTTTTTTTTTTTTTTTAAGAATATTCGATATTGTTTTTACTCTTCCCCACACACACACACACACACACAATACCACTGTTTTATATTAGAACTGAGATCGATATATTTTCTACGTCAGTGGTGTCGAATTCGTATTTGAACACGGGTCACCAAATTTAATTTAAGAGAGTCTGTGGCCCGTAAAGAGAGAGAAAAAAAATATAGATAGGTATCCTAAAAACAAAAAAAGAAAAACATTAGTGAAGAAAGCAAAAGAGAAAAAAAAACAAAGAAGAAGAGTATTTTAGTTTTACGTTGCATCGAGACACGTTAGGGGGTGGGGGGGGGGTTTGCATACTATCGTAAAAAATAAAAATATATTAGATAATAGACAAGATTTCTAACAATTTTTTCTTAGTTAAATGGCTTTAAACATTTGCATATAACTTTGATAATATTATTTAAATCGTATACATTAATAATATAATTAATTAGTTATATAATATAATATTATATTTTATATTATTATTAATTATATTAATATATAAAATTTATTATATTTATAAAATATATATATATATATATATATAATTTTAGTGATTTAAATTTATTAAAATTTGGTAAGAGACGAAAATTTGCCGGTTAATTTTAATCGATGACAAAATTTATTTTGAAAATGATCTAACACATATAAGTTCAATTATATCAATCAAAAACATAACATACTGTATTATTTCTTAAATAATAATAATAATAATAATAATAATAATAATAATAATAATAATAATAATAATATTAATAATAATAATAATAATAAT